ACTCATTGAGCTGATTCCAACGATATATCATATGCAATGATATGGTGGTCGGAACCGTTATAGATTTGGTAAGATTTTAACATTATAGGTATTGTAGGTCAAATCAACGTAGGTCAAATCAACGTAGGTCAAATCAACATCAACGGTTTTTATAACTGGGCTAAGTGTATCCCTATGATTCATAAAAAACACATTCATTAATTTAATCAGTTTTTGATTTTCAAAAATATTAATTCTTTACAATAATTTTATATGAATATTCGTTTATATAACCACTCATTTGATAAAATTGTGACTATTTATTACAACTTTCTTTAAATTTGTTGATTACCCAGGAAATTGTATTATTCTTAATATATTTTTTCATCGATTAATAAAGGTTTGAGTGTTTTATCAATTGAATACTCATTTAAAATTATTATAAAGGATTGAAATATTGATAATCAAAAACTGATTAAAATAGTGAATGTGTTTTTTATGAATCATAGGGTCATAGGGATACACTTCGCCCAGTTATAAGAACCCACTTTTTATCCATTTTGATTGCATTCCTAATTATGAGTTGTTTTAATGTGATGTATACCCAAACAGTTTTCCGTATGTCTTATACCACTCCATCTCCACAAATGGTCGAGGAGTTAGCGACGAACTCAAAGCATTTCCGAATATAGGGATAGGTTTTGGACCACAAATGTGTCGATCCTTCCAATAGCTGAAGGCATTCCTCCACGAACTCAATGAATGAATGAATAATTTCATGAAATATTATGTTTTAGATTAATTCAAATTTAATTAAATCTAATATACACTATGCCTTACATATAGTAATAGGCGATCACCGCCACAATGAGTCCTATGAGACACCACTCGTATGTCCGACAAATCGGTGCCAACACTGACCCTAACATTAAAGTCATAATTCACGGGATGTTTAATAAATCTATTATTTTACACTTTTTAAAACATATAAGTATTGAATAGTTTGCTCTATGTACTTTTATACACAGTTTTTACAAGTCACACAGTAAATGATTTTTCAAAAAAGTGTTTACAAAATATTACCAAGATCCTGTTTAAACCAATTCAGTAGAACATTTGCAAGTAATTGACCAATGTAATTGTATTAGTATCATGTAATGTTAAGAAATTAATTTTCAATGCAAACTCTTAGCAATATTTCAATATTATTGTTTAAAACAAATATGGTATGAGAAATATTATGTGATCAAGGTTTTATCGTTTACAAATGATTTGACAATTATTGCAATTTAGGAATAAAAAACCAAACAACCGATCGGTTGCAAGAAAATGGTTGGCAACAGGTATTGAGGGCACCGATAGCCTAGAAATTTGAAAACAATTTTGAATGAATCGACAAACCAAACTAATCTCGACTAAACTAGCAAAATCTTTAGTGTTCCTAAATGTTAAATAAGAATGAAAATGACCAAGCTGTTTAAAGTGCCATTTCACCCGACTCCGCCATTGGGTTGTGACACAATTTTTCATATGAAATTCATCTATCCTGTGCCTGTCCTGCCCTGTCCTGCCCTGTCCTGTGCCTGTCCTGCCCTGCCCTGTCCTGCCCTGTGCCTGTCCTACCCTGCCCTATCTTGCAAAGCAAGATTTCAATACTGTGCTAATCCTGTTTTGCACACTAGTAGGAGTAGTCTATAGTAACCAATTAGTGTCGCATAGAAACTAATATAAAATTATTTGTCATTCATAGATATCCGTAACCACTTATAAAAACATAATTACTATGCATATTAAAACATTGGCACTATTTTATTTGTTAAATAGTAATTTATTTTTCCTATGTTTCCCATAATTTCACTTTTTATAGTTAATATTACTGTGTCGTTGATTTATTTTGTCCTCCAATTATGTAACCAGATCGTTTAAATCTTAATTATATCATATGTTTGCCACTAAACAATATTCAATTCTAAACAGTAGTCAACAAAATGATTATATGAAATTCTATATTAAAATGAATATATTTTTGTGATACAATTATTTTTATAAAGTATTCAAGTAAAATGTCTTTATTTGTTAATTAATCTTCAAGTGTTTATTAAGTAAATTACAAATGCAAACAAACATACAGTATATTATGAAGTATTCATAATATATTTATACTTCAAATCATAATCATTTATTTGTACCCATATCTGTAGAGATTTTTAAAATACAAAACTTCCTGTTATACAGTATACTGTATAATATTACTACATTTTCATGTATTGTATTATTTAGTTGATATATTTATTCAACAATTTATTCATTTTATTATAGATATTTTTATATATTGTGTAAAATATATATTAAATTATAAATTAAGAATAATTTATACGATAAAACAATTGAATAAGAAATATAAAACTCAAAACAAATAATAAAACAAATTATTTGAATGAATTGATGTTTTGTTTAGACTCCGGGAACGTCTGGTTCGGTGGACTTTTGGTCGATGGCCTTAGTGTCGGCGCCGGTAGTTTTCGACTCTTTCTTCGCATCCTTGCCCTCATCTGATGGCGGTTTATCAGTCGACGCCTCCTTTGAGTCCTGTTTCTGATCTCATTTTTCCTTTGAGTCCGGCTTTTGATCCAACTTTTCCTGAGACTCAGGCTTAGGATCCGGTGCCCCCTTTACCTCAGAGGGAGGTCCCGCTGTGGGCTCAGGCTTCGAGACTACGGCGGCTATTTTATGGACAGGTAATCATAGATAAACCCATTTCCACTCATAAGATATACACAGTAGGCTTACCACCGATTTTGGTCTCTTCTGTCGGTTTCTCTCGACTTTCATTGTCTTTGTATTTCAAATAACCCCTAAAAAAGTAACACAAAGTTTAGATCAATTGTCGACTATTGGAAATTAATTGTATACCAAATCACTGCCAAAGCAACGATACTAATGATGGCGATTATGATCAATATATAGATTACAATATTGATTGGTTTACCACCCTTTCCAGGCTTCTTAGGTTCATTTGGGGGTGCAATTGGCGGGTCACCCGGTATGTCATCCTCTTGTATATTGTCATCAGGGACAGGGGCTGCAGGTTCATTAGCATTACCACCGGTGTTGTTAGCATCTGATGTCACCACTGGATCTACTACTGTTGTTGGATCAGTTGTAGGGTCGTTCTCACCACCGGTACCACTATTTGGGTCGACAGATGCTGGCGCATCACTGGCACTTGGGTTGGGATTACCAGAGTCTACAGGGGTATCAACAGTTGTTTCAATAGCTACCGGGTCGGCCGGTTGTCGTAGATTCACATCCTTTTCAACGCCCAACGACTATATCAATAGGTTTTCAATTATATGAATGCATTCATCAGTCCATTGGTGGACATACCTCTGGCCTGTGGTGGTGCGAGTGTAGTGTCTTAGCCCTCATGACAGGCCCATCTCTGTAGGCAACAGTTGGGTCCACTTTGCCATCAATGAAGTCAATCTGCGGCGAAATCAGTAGATATGCGATCAACAGAAATGCAAACATTCTTATGGATCAATGTTTGTGATGTCTTCAGTTTATAAGAGAAAATATCTTTAAGTTATTTAACGGCTATTCGTATTGAATGAATCAAAAAAGTTGTGAACACTTCACGCCATCAAAAGTCGGCAAATAATTATTACTCTCATATACTGTGCGCGCATTCAATACAAAACTTATCATTAGATTTGTCATAAAAATTATCAGTTTTGAGAAGTGTTTCAATATTTGCCATAAAATCAATATTAATTTCGAAGACATTTGTTTCAAAAATAGCAAAATGTTTGTCAAATGTCTTGTATTTTGTCTTTCCATAAATGTCTTACTGTTGAGTCCGACGGATGCCTTTCCCAAAGACATCCTATGCCTGCGGTCCTCATTCGCATCCATCACTCAATACCTCCCGTCGCTAACTGTCAGCTATTTTATAAGCGACTCAAAGGGCCGGTACTGGCAGGACATCACCGATA